ACGTCCTATAGTTGTCGTTACCTGGGCCTTAATTATTATTATTATTATTATTATTATTATTATTACTATTATAACTGTGTTTCCCCTTTACTTATGTCTCATATTCTCATTATTTTGTCCTTAATTGCTCATGATATCACTTCATTTATTTCGCACCTCTATTACCTCTAATTACCTACAATTATTGTGACAAAACATCTTACTACATTCACGTTGTGATTCGTTACTAACTTATTAAGTCTATTGTTATTATCCGTATTACGTAATATAGTATTATAATATTTCTATTACATCACCTTGGTTATCTCTTGTTCAAATTCCCTTACGGAACTAGTACTTTATATATATATACAGCTTGTTAATAAATTCATTGAAAGGAGATCTCTTAGCTGAACTTCGTGTTTTTAATGTTGAAATGAGAATTATCTGTCAATTAGAAAATCATTACAGGCAAAAAATGTTTGTTCATTATTTGTGATCGAATAAATGAGGTATGACTACTTATACTTATTCTTTTTTATTAAGTCAATTTTTAAGCAATGGCATTTTAATTGGTTAAAGAAAACAAGCCTAAGTCTGGCGATGAATGGATAAACAACTGTGTTGCGTAGTATATTATTTTTGCTATTGATCGAGCTTGGAAACTGGATTCTGAACAATAGTCATTTAGAGTTACTCTCGATTGTGATCACACTATCATTGTGTCAGTGGTAGTCGAAAGTCATTTGGTATTAGAGAGAAAGTCTATGAGAACTAATCAATACTAGGAGAAGATCAATACAATCTCTCTCCTGTAGTATGGTCCAATCACACAGGCCCGGAAAATAAACCAATAAGACAGTATCGGGGCTACCCGCACAGGATGAACAAATGCCAACAAGAGACTGATAAAATAAACTCTAGTAAACTGTGGCATCAGTCCTTGAAGTCACTAACTCCTAGCTTGAACCATGTTGGTAGATGCAGACCACTTGGTTGGGGTTCGTGCGACTGTCGTTACCAATGGTTGGAGACTCTGACTTCAGGAGAACCTCCTGGAGTTCTAGTGAGAAGCCGTCACCAGTGGAGTTCAACCAGGTCTGTTGTGAGATATCAGCTCACTGAAGACATTGGTGTTCGATGGCGCAGCTTCGTGGATTGGTTGAATTTATACATTAACACGTTGGATGCCGGCTTAGTGGTCTAATGGTTAAGTGCTCGCGCGCGAAGCCAGTAGGTCCTGGGTTCGAATCCCGCAGGGGGCGGGTTCGTGGATGCGCACTGCTGAGGAGTCCCGTACTAGGACGAGACGGCCGTCCAGTGCTTCCAGGTTATCAATGGTGGTCTAGCGTCAACTGACTCATTATTTCAACCTGTGAAATTTACTAAAATCTCCACAAAACTCATTCTGGTAATAAATTATTATCCTACGTTTTACTGTTACAATTGTTTTTAATTTCGTTTAAGTTGCTTGAAGAAGAAACATTTTTAAAAAAGCAAATTGTTAATGGCGTAATTTATGCTTATAGACATATACTGCAACAATTGAAGCTCACCATCTCATGAGGTCTAGAAGCTGAATAATATAATAATGGAGAGTTTCACTAATGATACTATACTTTAAATGGAGACTGTATTTATTTCCTTCAAAATTATACAGAATCACATGATCCCATTATCAATCTTGAAAGTAGAGTTCAGCTCAGTTAATAATCAAGAATATTTTACGCTTTACAATCATTATTGGAAGAAAGCTTCGGATAACACGCTATTATACTCAGTTAAACTACATACTTCTGTGGTGTTTGAACGAACTAATATTACCTTTGTAGTTGTTGAATTCTCGATTTCGAATTCCAAATACAATACATTCGCTTGTGCTTGTGTTTTACTTCTTAATTTAGTTGCGTTAATTCTAAGATTCCTAGTTCATTCTACAATCCAAATAATTCAAAACATTATATTGGCGTCGCGATGGAGCCTGCAATGGAAAAGTTAGATATTCATTCAACTCCTGAAGCTTTTGAGGATTACTTGGAAAGGTTCGAAATCTGGAGCATGACCAAGAAAGATGTTAAAGGTGATAAAATTGTGGCACACTTCCTCACATTCATTGGGAGAGAAGCGTACAGCTTATTAAAAACTTTGGTATATCCAGAAAAACCTATCTCACTCCCTTATGCAACTCTTAAAGAGCTATTATTAAGTCATATAAAATGCACCATTTTTGAATGCCGTGAAAGGGTGAAGTTTCATAAGTTGGTTCGTCAAAACGACCAAAAGGCTCGGGAATTCATCCTTGAATTACAGAAACAAGCTGCCAAGTGTAATTTCGGTGATCAACTTCATGTGCAACTGAGAGATCGAATAATTGCAGGAATTAACATACCGAGTTTGGAAAGAGAGCTGTTAAAAATGCCAAACTGTTCCTTTCAAGATGCTAGAACTGCGTGTATTAACTACGAAGCAGTCAATGAACTTGATATCCAGTCGATGAAGATTTCTAATACTTTGCTTAGTCGTCGTGATGAACTACAATCTCAGGGTCAATCAAACTTGCGTTCATTTAACAGTGATTCCTATTCTCGTGTAAATATGAAAGGTGTTTCAACGAGGAATTACAAAGCAAATCACAAAGGTGAGATGAAGTTTGGTAAATGTTTATCATGTGGAAAGTTTCATGCTCGCAATTCATGAGTATTTCGTAATGCTAAATGTTTTAAATGTGGTAAGGTAGGACACATTCAGTCAGTATGCAAAGCTACTGTCCATTTTGCTTCAAGCTGTACTAAATCTTGTAATTTAAATTTCAATAATTCGGATGTTTCTAATGATCATTTATCTTTATCAACGATTTCGAAAAAACAGTGCAGAGTCATATGGCAGTTCAGAGTTAGATGAAATCCAGAATTCTTGTGAGACAACAGTTCCTAATCAACCGATTTATCAGAATTCTCATGCTATTGTACCAGCTATGACTTTTCCTAATGATTCACATATTTCTAATGAAATTACTTGCAATATTGAGGAAAATATGTTAAATGAACCTAATCATGATCGGAAACCTGATGTGGTTTGGATAGATGCTGATTTTTCTAACGATCCTACGCTCTGCAATGATAGTCCTAATGAATTTCATGAGAATATTTCAGAAAAATCAAATCCTGATGTCATATCATACATTACCTATCCTCATAATGCATTTGATCCTTATGAAAAACCTGCTCAATACAAAGCACGAGTACTAAGTGACCTCGAGTTTGATTACATATCAACTGCTGTTTACCCTTATCACAAAAACAGTTATAATGTTTACTCTAAACAATGTGAGAAATATGTTTTAAATGAAGCTACATTATTCATAATTTGGGGATATAAAGATCCGACATTATTTCGTGGGGGAGGATAGTGTTGAAAAATCTACGGTTCGAATTCTAGATATTAATGATTTCATTACAAAACCGACATGCTGATTGTATACAATTCCAGGTGAGTCTGTTCTGATTTCGTTTGTTAATTCCAATACTAATGAGCACTTTCTAGATACTACAAAGTTTTTATCTTATACAATGTCGAACAGACTCAGGATGAACTTAACAAGAAGACGTACAACAGATTACAAACACTTATACTTCTATTTAAGCTGTGGCGGATGTGGTGTTTGAACGAACTAATATTACCTTTGTAGTTGTTGAATTCTCGATTTCGAATTCCAAATACAATACATTCGCTTGTGCTTGTGTCTTACTTCTTAATTTAATTGCGTTAATTCTAAGATTCCTAGTTCATTCTACAATCCAAATAATTCAAAACATTATAACTTCACATTGTTAAGAGATCAGTAATTTTGATAAAGAGCCTGTCGGTTAAAGTAAGGATCACATGTGATATTGCTAAGGTTATAATGTTAACGGTTTTCAAAGAAATGAGGCTCAACATTCTAGTTCGTAGAAAACATTTATAAAATCCTCAGTGATGCCTTCTATCTGAGTCAACCTATAGTTCTTTAAAATTAAAAGGATCCAAAGGTTGGATGGTTTTGCACTAGTTAAATTTAATACGTGGTGCTATGATGAAAATGAAGTGACGATCAATGGAACTGAATCGTTATTATGTAACAAAAGAAGTTGCTATCTAAAATCACTGATTTCTAAAGCATTCGATAGATTTGAGTGATTTATTGATTCAATTTGTATCATTACCTAGTTAAATGCGAAATTTATTGATGAAATGTGACTGAAACTAAAGAACTATAGTAATTCAACTGCGTTATATTTCTGAGTTCGCATAGTGTACCTCTTTTACAACTAATTAACAAGTTTACTTTAAGAGCTTTGTAGTGTCGGTTATTATGTTAAGCCCATATACCTTATTCTAGCTTTCGGACAGCTCAATCTGTTCATTCTACTCGAGTCACGTTCTGACCTTGTTAATCATTCGCTTATCAATCTTGACTGTTTTTATATGAGCGCGTAGGTGTGCGTACACTTCTTAATCCCATTACTCATCACATGTCTGTAACTTATTTTTGCGTGCCTATAAATATTGATTAAGGCTTGACTAAAGGGAGGTTGGCTTACCTACCATCTCCACTGAGCGTCGTTTCGCTTCTCTCTATTCTATTCGCTGCATATACAAAATATATGTATTCAAAAGTCCATTTTCGTTATTTGACTTATTTAATTCCTCTATTGACTATGGACCTACGTTCCACTCTAGTATGGGACTTCTCGGCAGTTTCTTTTGCCAGTTGAATTCTCAAAACACTTATTTTGATTCGAAAATACTGGAAACAGAAAATATATTTACTACCAATTATTCTCACGTCTTCATATGGCTTTATAGCAAACCGACTATGTAGGTGCCTTATCACTTAAGTATACGCATTAAAGTCGACAGGCGATTTTTTGTATGCCATTGACATATAAGACCGGGTAAAAAATATTTGTTTTCTTTTCTAACATAAATATCTACAAGCATGCATACGCATGTGATGATAAATTAGAATCCTAACATGACCACTTCGAATCACGAGGAAAACTAGATATTGTTTTGTCGGTTAGAAATAGTTACAACGGCCTTGAGTAGATTGTTGAGTGAATACAGACACATATAAACATTTAAATTTAATAATCACGTAAGTGTCGTGACTACACCAGGCTTGTTTATGTATTAAACAACGTAGTTTTGATCGTATGACTTCAGTTTTGGATTTATTTGAAGAAATTTCGTTTGTTTTCGTTCCCTGGGTGATCGTCGTCTAACTTCTGATTTCAGCCCATTTTTCCTCATTTCACTCTGTGGTGGTGGATCGTCAGGCCAGATATCACATGCGCAGACTGAGGCATCTGCTTTGAATTCTCGAGTACTCGAGCAATTCCCCTCCTTATTTTTTTGTAGTCCCCTCATTCTTTCTTTAGGGTTCAAAATATCAAAAAATGTCCTAGTAAGTCGGCCAAACATTGTTTCGGCTGGTGATTTCTCGTCTTGACAGTTTGGACTCAGTGTAATTCTATAAGAAGTTAAAAACTGTTGCAGAGCCACTTTTACATTATCTTCTCCCATTGTTTATTCCACAGGACTTCAAAACAACTCAGATCAAGGACCACGACGTAAATATATTTCCACATCAAAAACCCGGCACAATCCAACAACAATGAACAACCAATAATAAGTGAGTCATAATAGTAGGGGATAGGGGGATACATAGCTCATCTGACACCTGTCAGACTATCTACATGTCTGCCTAGGCAGACAGAATTGATGTGTGGGCGAGGATGATAGTGATTGGTTGTCTGCCTAGTCAGACATGTAGATAGTTTGACAGTTGTCAGATGAGTTATATATTTCCTTATCTTTATTATTATTATTATTATTATTATTATTATTATTATTATTATTATTATTATCATTATCATTATCATTATCATTATCAGTAACTCATTATTGATTGTTCATTGTTGTTGGGTTGTGTCGGGTTTTCGGTGTGGAGATATATTTACGTCGTGGTCAGGCTAATCACCTGTTCTTGATCTGAGTTGTGTTGAAGTCCTGTAGAATAGATACTGGGTGGGAGTCTAGTGTAGATATTCGTCTAAGGTAAATTAACGTCTCATATGTGTAAACGTGCAAACCCAACTGTTATAACGTTAGACGAAGTAAAACCGAGCGTTATAACATGTATTCACTTACATTAGAATTTCTGCATGAATTCTCTTGGTGCGCTACTGGCTTAGTGATCTGCGCTGTTCAATTATAAATTATAGTTGGTGTTTTGCCTTTTGAAATTTACTGACTGATGGGATTTATTTAGCAACGGTTATCACAACGATTGATATTTGAAGCCTTAGGAATTATCTCAAAGATAATCCACTAAATTTTCACTAAGTGTTTTGAACTCAGAAGTTGATTATTTTGGCGGAGTTTTGTTCGGATGGAATAAAATATTTCAGCAGAAATCTTCTGTTTAAATAAAAAGAAGAAAGCTAACACGATTAAAAATTTAAGTCAACAGTACAACACCAACCAAAACATGCAATGTCGAATATATGGTTATAAACTTTAAACAAAGAAAATGGAATAAGTAGATGAGGGTTTAAGAAGATAATGAATAAATACGACGTATAAAATACCCCATTTGAGATAATTTTAGCTTCAGTCTTTGCATAGTTTGGTTCAGTTTAGGGTTGTTCATTTGGACTGCTGTATTTAAGGACAACAGATGTAAGATATCAAATAGCAAATATGCGTTATATCTATGCTCTCGGACAAGGTCTAATTCGTGCTCCCCCAATCAAAATTAAAAATCCGTAGTGACTCTTCAGCTTGACATAACTACTTTCCTCCTTTATGTGATAAAGTGAACCCAAAGGCTGTTTGTAAATCTCTTTTATAATCGTATAAATTAGCCTTAGTTTATGTGAATATACTAACCGTGAAGTAGGGTCTCATTTGACGAAACGGTAATTGTCATCTTTCGGCGACCAAACATGTAGATAACTTGTTCCCAAATTCAGCAATATATTTATTCGTTCTTTTTATTTCCTTTTATTCACCCGAACATTTAACATTTAGTTGATAATCCTAATCCAACAGATATATTTGTTGTTGCGCCTTCCTGCACACAAATGAATTTACTTATTTTCGAAACTACGCTACAACAATGACCTGAAACTAACCTAGATTGTATTGTATCTAATCTGGGCAACAAAATTGTACTTTTACAATCTAATTTCACCCCACTGTATCGATCTAAATATCAACTATCAGTGGAGTTTCCATGAATGAAGATACCGTGTTCGATAAAAATATCAAATGGTTATTTAAAAATAGTTATTCTGATATACTGCACCTAATAATCCTAATGAAAATGTCAGTTAATCAAGGTTTTCTTAAACTTTTAATTTCAAATACTCATCACCCATTCTTTAATGTCTATGCAACAAGCCATAACAAACAAACCAATTCAGTCAGTGAAATCACTGGTCTCGTGAAAAAACACATTTATATCATATCTTTTTCAATGCCCTCTTGGAAAGCATCCATGTTAATACATTTAAACAAACTTTATTACATGACAAAGAGAAATTCAGCGGTTAATTGGATTTATCTGAATAAATATGGTTTTTTGTGATTTTCTCAAAATATCTTCAACGATGAGCCACTGTAAATGCATGATGATAGTGAATTTCTCTACCTTTAATAGAAAACGTTTTACAAAATTTATAAAATGATCTGCAACTATCTCGGACCACAAGTCATTAGAATGTTCTATTTTATAGTTACAATATGTTACGAACCCCTCATTTCTAATCCTGTTTATAAAAAGTCTACCTAAATTATTTAACCAGAATTCCACGCAAACAATTGTGATTTATTTCTATTAACTTTTATTTATGAGTATTTTTCTTCAAGAGTAATACGTCTTAGTCAATCAAATATTATGTTTAAATGAATGCAATTAACACACAACCGAAGTTGCCTAGTAATATAGACACACTCAGGAAAAGAAGTACAGTATTGAGTAAATAATTCACAGTAGTTATGGTTATAAATCTTGTTTTACCTTGTACTGATTCATTTTGTTGTCATCAATTTCCGTTAATTCAATTTCACTAGTGAGTTCAATGCTTGAATTATCTAAAAAAAATTATAAGTCTTTGAAACAAATCCAACACATTGAAATTAGAAACCGACTGTACTAATGTGGTATGGCAACTCGAACTGATGTACGTACGTACGAAGTTCTACGTTGTTACTGACTGATTGACTGAATTCGAAACCGGATAGCTTTGTAAACATTGCAACTGATTAGAAATGACACTATGGAATTTAACAAATATGATTCTAAAATAAATATCAAAATAGAATATTTTTATTGTTATGATATCGAAACACCTTTTGTCACTAAGCCTCTCATCAAAATGAATTTTCAAATTATTTTTCATCATATTGAAATCACAGAACGTGGAAATTTTCACGTAGTCTGAATATCGCCAGTGTCAATTAATTCTCAAATAATTATTCTTTCATTATATTGGATATAAACTTTACGTTCTTACTAAATGATGCATCTGCAACTAAGAAGTTGTCCTAAATTCTGACAACATAATTAAAGTTTGTTAGTTTCAAACTTCTAACTACAGGATAATAATAGTGGTTGTGATAAATAAATGAAATAATAACCCATATGTATCATGTCTTATGAAGTGCATTGCTTGATTGAAATACACTAATTAGTGATGTTAGACAATTAATTACTAAATAGTATGTTCTATATACTACTTGTAGTATTTATTTTGTACATTAGACAAAACAAAATAGGAGAGCTTCAAATAACCAGTTCATTAGATATCTCTATAGACACTTTAACTTTACGTGATACTGCAAGTTTATACAAACCAATAAATGACAGTTAATCTGTTTTCAAAAGATAATATTGTCGGCAAAAGAAAAACAGCAATTTGTCCACTTAAAATACTCCATATTTAAGAGATAGAACTGATCGGAAATTGGTACCAGTATAGTGAACGAGAACAAAGGTGAGGACAACAAAATGTAGTCAAATACAAAATTACCAGAAGGGGTTTTGTGGAGATTTCAACTATTAAATACAAAATTACAGAATCTTTTAGTAAAATCTGTGAACCATACAGTGAATACTTCACTTGCAAAATGTTAATCACTTGTCGCAGAATTAATTGTCCCTTTGTCTCCACAACAATCACTCTCTGTTCTCGTTCTCTTCTATTCCATCTTATTAACCTTCTGCCGTGAGGCATTTCACTTTCTATTGGTGATACATACTACTTATATCTGTCGACATTAATAGCACAGACCACAATAGTATTTCACAGCTTTCTGTTTGGCGTAGTGTAAAATTATATAACATTTAGGTTTTTCTTTATTGATAGTACTTTATTCCCGGACTCGTTCTTTAACCTCTTATCATTTGAGTTATTTATATACTCCCTATACCTTATTAATACTTCACTATAGAACGCAAAAGATATTCACATCATACCAATAAACATTCCAATTACGAACCGTATTTGAAGTTGACACAAAAATGTTCGCTCATTCTTTTTAAAATTTGTGTTAGCTTAAATATTAAAACAAACAAAAATAACCATAAAACGAAGATCGCACTTAATACTTTTGATCGGCAAATAACAAAACAATATTTCATCTGTAAAGTCTATAATAGATAGTTTTATTTATATCTAATTAGTGGGACTACGATTCAGACTTGAATGAACTAACCCATTGAACCAAGGAAGATTATTTATTATTGAACTGATATTATAGGCTTCCCTTTAGTTAGAAATGATTCTAATGTTATTCGAATCTGTTCTACAGCTTTTAGAATTCTTCTTATTTATGATTTTTTTATAAAAAAAACATCCACTAGATTATTCATCATACTCATATGCGTTGGTTTACTACAAGAACACAGAAAATCGTCCCTACGCTATATGTTAATTGATTATAGATGTGATTGTTATTTTTTCAAAACAAGATTTTCGATTTTGTGTTAATGAATACAGATATCCTTATTTTAGTAGTATAGTGCTCTTATTCATATCATTATCTACGTAAGGATAAACTTTATTCGTATATTTGTCTTAGTTTTGCTTTAATCAATAAACAGCCAGTTTTTCGGTATATAGACAAAATGGTAGTTTGGATAGTGGCTAGCAGTGAAATATAGGACGCGCGTTTTGCCCTATTTGGGACTCGTCAGCTGGATGTACCTGAATCGCCATCGCGTTACCCACTTAGCTACTGAGTCTTGATAGCGGACGTTACTGAGTTTGTAGTGTTAGTCATTAATTTTAGCCCATAATATATCTTATTCTAGTTTCCGGACATTCCATTCTATTCATTCTACTCGAGTCATATTTTGACCTTGTTAATTATTCGCTTATTAGCCTTGACTGTATTCATGTGAGCGTATATGTATGTACACTTGATGTCCCATGATTCATCACATGTCTGTAGTTCATTTTGTCTGACTATAAATATTGAGTAATGCTTGACTAAAATGGAGTTGGCTTCCCAGCCATCTTCCATACGTGTCAAAATTGCTTTGTTATGGCTCTCGCAC